GTCGTTATTCTTTCTCCCCATTTCTGAAGTATTTCAACTATAATTTTGATTAGTTAAAAAGGAAAATGCAGAGCCAATTTATTCTTTTAGTCAAGAGAATCAGAATTAGCTTGTAGCCAAAGTACATTCATTTTTCTCCTTTGTTTTTCAAGCTTCATTTGGTATTTTTCTTCTAATAATACAATTGAAATTTATTCAAGCATACAGAGACAGATTATCACTTAAGTCAGTCTCTTGATGGTTCACTATTATTTGGATCCAATTTCTGCATAATGTATAGGACTCTTAAGCATATGGTACTTCCCTACTCTTGCCTTTTGCCTTCTTTTCCTTAGCTCTGAAAATGACAGATGGCTTCATAACTATGTACCTTTATACATGCAGATATTTTTCCCCCAATGAAAGTACTTGCCTTCCTCCCAGGTTTATTTATCTAGAAAGGTATTATTCATCCTTAACCTCAAGATCAGATGTCAACTCCTTTATAAAGGAGAAAAGGACATAGGTATATCATAGTGTGTTTGCTTGGTACTTGTTCATATGAATGCAACAAGATATTTCTGAAAACAGGATTCTAAAACATTTATTTTGAGGTGAGATGAGATACAAATTTGCACAAGGTTAAATTTTATGAATTAAAATTTTGTGAATAAAGATGTTAGCTGACTTGACAAATTAATTCCAATTTGCTAACATAATCAAAAGGTCTTTCTAATGATATAAAGCTCATTAAATCAAAAGGATTGGCATGGCAATCTCATATTCCTATTTTAATTGTATAGATTTAACAAAATAAATTTATTTTGGACAGAGAAATCATGATATATGAAATAAATCAATGTTCTTCAATAAAGGAACAGTTTTTGGGTAGCTATCTAAAAGTAGAACTTCTTTCACAAGCCCTCAAACTGTAAATACCCACATGCTTTTCTGTTGTTAACATCTTATTCAAGTTCTAAAGTTCTTAAAATGAATGCACAAAATAAACCTCACTTGCCCAACTGTTCTCTGTTACACTGATCCCCATATTTCTCTACACTTTGCCTGCTACAACTTCCCATTTTTCCTTTACCTCTTGAACCCCATCACTAAACAGACTTTCCTTTATTTTAACAAACTATCCTTTAACGACTTCATAGCCTTTCCTCCCGTATTTACTTTGACTGAGACCTTCACTGAAGACGCAAACATCTAGATGGTCATAGTCTTCATCTCAATTCCTGCCTTTACTTCACGTAGACAATTAAAACTATGCCAGTACCTTGAGTTCCTCATTTTCAGTGACCTTTTCTGGACTCTGCCTAAGCTAGGCATTCAAATTTTGGATACCATGGACCTTATTTTAACTGGAGCTATATAAACTACCAAATCACCTCTCTGATAAAGTTCATTGTTCAAACTTGTTTGTTCAACCCTGCCAACTAGGACAGTACCCTGATACCTCACCTGAGTTACTGTTTTAGAGTTCTAGCTGGTTTTCCCATTTTCATTCTTCAGATCTATTTATTTCATTTATGTCTGATCATTTTCCTAGAATGTAAATCTGATCATTACCTCTTGGTTAGAATTTTTGAAGGGCTTTCCATTACTGATAAAATAAAAAAATTATCATGTATATCCAGCTCATTACAGGTTAATTCTGGATTTTATTAGTTATTGTCTCATAGTCTGATTTTTGTAGGCTTGCTTTGGCTAGTTTGAATTTTTGTAGTTCCAAATGTGCCTCTGCAATTAGCATATGGTAATGCTGTTTTGACTTCTCTGTTGAGTTTTCCTTGGTGTTGATGCAGACTCAGGCACTGTGTTCTTGTTGCAGGCTATGTATACCTCCATTCCATTACAGCTCTTATCGCAGTGTGGTATCATTTCATATATGTGCTATTATGAGAATATGAACAATAATCAGTTATTTTACCCATGTATCACTAGGATATAGAAGAAGCCCCAAAATATTTGTTGACTTATGAATATTTCACACAGAGGAAATAAAATTAGCAAAAAAAACCACTCTATCTTCCTAGTAACCAAAAAACTGTTGTTTTATCAAAGTCTAAATTTTCACTATTACAATATTAGACCATCTTAACATACACCACTCACATTAAAGTTTAAGCTGGCATCAGTGATATTTTTAACTGTTAAAATCTTTTTTGGGAAAGTTTGACACTTTCCCAAACTTTTCTAAAGTTTTTCTAAAGATTAAATGAAAGAATCCTATAAGATACTTAGCACATACCTGAAAACTTAGTAAGTTCTTAAAACAGGCTAGCTGTTGTTATCTAAAGATTGTTAAATGCTTAGATATAATATGATATTTGAGTATTTTTCAAAGTAATTTGAAAAATTGTCACTAACTGAAAAATTATTTCAAGTGGTGATTGTGAAAATAAGATAAAGAATAAAAGTCAGATGCAAAGTTGCATATACATTATGATTACATTTGGTTAAAAATGACAAATGAAAAGACTAAGGAACTGTATAATATAGTGGGAACATTGATTTTATGATGTTGGAACTATGGGTGCTTTTCCCACCTTTGAAAGCATTTTCTCTAATGGGGTTGTATTTTATGATTTAAAATGTATACAACCTACTCCTGTATTTTGATTTTTAAACAATGTAATATGGAATCAAAACTTTTAAAAGAACGCTTGAACAGTTTGAGTACAGTTGATCCTTGAACAACATGTATTTGAACTGTGTGGATTCATTCATATGTAGATTTTTTTTAATAGATATATTGACTTCTGGAGACTTCAGCAATTTGAAAAAAAATTTCCTCTAGTTCCTTTATTCTAAGAATATAGTATATAATGCATAGAACATACAGATATGTGTTAATTGACTATCTAGTTGTCAGTAAGGCTTCCAGTCAACAGTAGACTATTATTAGTAGTTAAGTTCTGGGGGAGTCATAAGTCGCATGCAGGTTTTCTGATGGATGGTGAGGGGGTCAGTGCTTCTAACCTCTGCATTGTCCAGGGGTTAGCTGTAATTATTTTATCTTACAATGGCTTCTTGGGGCTGGGTCAGTAGGGAAGGAACTGATAGTTAAAAGTTGACTTTTGAGGTAAGATATGTGTGGCCAGCATAGAATGTTGATCATTTAAGTAAGGTTTCAAGGCTGACTTATGCAATAGTTCTTCCTTTCCAAAATTGCAAATGCAAATTTTCTGCTTTAAATGTAGTTTAAATGTTGTTTTTGTTTTTGTTTTTGTTTTAAGGTACCAGTTTTTGGAAGAAGCTTTTCAAAACCAGAAAGGTGCAATTGAGAATCTACTGGCTAAGCTTCTTGAGAAGAAGAATTATGTCCATTTTGCAGCTACTCAGGTGCAGAATAGGTAAGTGTATTATCTTAAAACTGTATTTTCACTTTAAGGATTATTAAACACAGTAGGCACATTTAATTTGTTTTCCCTCTGTATTATATTAGTATGTGTGCTAAATTCTGTGGAAAACATTTTTTGGAAAGGTAAATGGTATAAATTTGAGTTTGGATTTGTAATATTTGTTAAGTAAAATTTAATTGATCAAAATTTTGAATTTTCCTTTAAGTTACATCTTTGACTATCATAATTAATAAGACCATATAGTCTTTGAAAGCCTTAGATAAGTGTGGGAAAAGAAATTAATATGTAGAAAGTTGAATTAGAAAATTTTAACTGGAACCTGTGTGAAAGATACACTATAGAGGAGAAAGTATGAAGAATGGTGGACAAACTTATCTGTTAAGCATTAAAAACAGTACTTATCCTAGTAGTAAGTAGTATTATAAGATGAATATATAGCACAGGTTCTGGCACATAGTAAACTGTCAGATTTTATCTGTTGCTATTATTTTCATCAGTAATACCATCAGGATTTGAAAATTCTATTTTGATTAATTTTTAACTAACTAAACTTATTGATAAGGCAAAATGGGAGTAAGTTCTGTAAGTGAGTAGACTGAAAAGATTAGGACTCTCAATGTAGAAAGTCAAACACTTGGAACTGGCATAATTAAAACTTGTATATTCCTGGAGGTATGAATAGGGTTAATATGTCTTTATTCTTCAGATTCACAAATATTGGGACTTACAGGTACTTCCAGATAATTAAAATTGATTAGTTTATGATGATTTAAAATGGCACACAGTAAATACTTGAAAAATAATAAATAGGTGAATGAATGAATAGTACATTACACATTAGACACTTAAGTGGTAGAACGTTGATCGTATGAAGTGATACCAAAGGAAAACAAAGGTTCCTCAGAAGTTGTAGATAGGGAAATGCATATATATATATATATATATATAATATATGTACACATACACATACACTAGTCATGGATGGAATTCTCATGGAAATGTCAGGATGTTTTAGGTTATATTGCTGATACATTGTGGGTCATAGTGGAGAGGATAACATCTCAAGTTACAGGATGGATGTTCTTTTAGAGAAAGGATAGTGAGTTGATATGGCAGTTTCCTATTTTTTGTACATATATTCTGGACATATTTTGTATATGCTTGAATCTGTGGGGAAGTAGAGTAGGAGGTTTATGTGTTATAAGATTGCAAAGGGTTGGGGAGATTGATTTTATCTCCAAATCAACAAAAAAGTATCAAAATCTCTATGATACTTTTCCTTTTAGACACAGTTTTGAATGACCTGTCTCCATTTTTTAATGTATATTCACTTTTTTTCCCTTCACAATTGGACATACAGTAGACGTACTTAAATCCAATGAGAGTCAGACTGTGTCTGTTTTCTTCTTCCAACATGCTTAATGATTCCAATCTTTGGCTGAGTCATTTTTAGTTTGAGTCCTGTATTTCTTGTCACTTGTAATCGGCACTCTCATTTTTTAAAAAACGTCTTCCACTCACTTCAATAAGATAAGGACAGAGCCAAATAAAATTTCAATAAGTGCCCAAACAAGCACTGATGTAAGACAATGGAGGGAAAACTACATTTTTATGACTAAGAGTTTATGAAAGTTACTTAAATTTGAGTTTGGCAAATAGGCAATTTAGGGATTGAGAGTGTGGGTTATAGTTTGTACAGAAGCGAAATGTAAAAAAGTTGAAGGCTACTTTCTTAATGGTTGTTTGTTAACATTTTATGTATTTGGTGGATTCGACCTTTCCCATTTTATAAACAGCAGGGCATCAGCCATTTCATATTTGCAGTCAAAACTTTCATGACAATGGGAGCTTATACCTATTTCTAAAACATCTAACAGCTATTTAAAAAAGTAGATTAAAAAATATTTTATACTCTTACCTGTATACCATAGGAAACCATTTTGAGAAAAACCTGTTGGAAGAAGTGTATTAGAGCCCACATTTGAAGTGGTTAAGTTATAAGTGAAAAATAAATGCTTCTAAGCTTTCCTTCTAAGAAAGGAAAATCTCTTTTACAGCAGCTAGAGGCTACTATTTCAAAAAATAATTACTGGTTTCAACATTGTTCTTTTGAACACTGTTCTTGAAAAGAATAAGATTAAGAAGAACCAATGGGCCAGATTGACACTAAATAGCAGAATCATTGATGTCAGATGTTTGTGTATTACATTCATGTCATAGGAGCTTAAAGAGATTGCCATCTAGATTAATAAACTGGCCTTTATAAACTTAATTTAAAATTACTAAATATTTAATCCATTCTTTTGTCTATATACACAACTTGTTTGGACCAAATTGAGTGGTTTGTCTGCAGAAACATAAGTTGTACATTTTAACAAAGGTTTAACTTTAATTACTTGGTTAAGTGCCCAGTTGGATTAATTTCTGTTACAGTTGATGATTCAGAGTCATAGGAGAAGTTGATAACCTAATGATGCATTTCTCTTATTCAGGATAAAAGAAGTAAATGAGACTAACAAACGAGTAGAACAGGAAATTAAAGTGGCCATTTTCACCCTTATCAATGAAATTAATAAGAAAGGAAAATCTCTCTTACAGCAGCTAGAGGTATGGTTCAAAGCCAAAGTAAAACAAAAACTGCTTCTTTTGCTACTTAGTTGTTCTTAATGTTTATTGAAAGCTCTTTTAGACTGGTTGGGGGGTATTGAAATAAAGTAAATTTTAAAAAATTTTATTTTCATTTTCTACTGGAAATAGTTATTTTGCAGCCCAGTTTAATTACATACACTTTTTTTAGCTGTATAAATTAGGGGATAGTGTTGTCCTTTTAGGAATGAGAGAAGTATTACTAAAATGTGTTATAAGTGAAGACAAAGCCTACTGCCACATTCCCTCTTACCCCCAAAAAAGGCCTTAATTTAACTTTTACATATGAATGTATATTGGGAGTTTGATTGAGTCATTTATGTGTTTCCCTTTATTTTAAAATGTTCCATAGTTTTCCTAAAAGTGCTGCTCATCTTGAAATTTATAAACTAAACCAACTGATAGTTTTAGTTTTTGTTTTATTAGGCCCTTGTTGCATATTTTGAAATTAGTTATGAGCTGTAAGTTTCTAGATAAGAAATAAATTTATGAAGTACAAGTTAAGTTCTAGTCAAAGACTCATCTCTACAGACCACAGCTGATCAATTCTTAAAATTTTGTGCTCTGAAGTAAGCTCAAATGATAATGGGGTTATATTCTCTGCACCATAGAATAGTAGGAGTTTAAACTACATATTTGGTTGTTTAACTTGGATCACTGTCAACCTCAGATTTTCCATAGTAGATTTTTCTTCTGTTCTGTTCCTTCTGAACAATGTAGAAATATTAGACACATAGTTACATACAAATGAAAGATACTATGTCAGGACAGTATTATTTCTGAATTTCTGTATTTTGAAATACATAAATGAAATACATCTTTCCATTAGATACAATTAAGAGATTAAAAGTACTGGCTGGCACAGATATTGTTAAGTTGGAAGTTTCTTTCCTGTTGCATATCCAACCAGTTGCATTGAACCCTAATAGTTTTTTTTTGCTTTCAAAAGGACTGTGTGAATGGAGGTGACTGAGCAGCAACTAATTTTTGATACCTTTTAACTTACCTTAAATGCATTTTAACTAAAGGTCTAAAATAATGCTCTTAAACCATTTCAAGAACTTGAGTTAAAAACCACCTCCTAATGCTAAAATATACATAATACATAATGATAAATCTGTCATATACTCCTAACAAGCTGTTTATTTAAATGAAAGATGTCTTGTATAGTATGTTCCTAAACTTTGTAAAACAGAAATTTTTCCTAAGCTTTATAAAAAGGATGGTTTTCAGGGAAGTTGTAAAACAAACGTCTGCCAGTTGAATTATTTTATCCATTGATTTACATTATAAAATGAGCAGCTTGTTTTCTTAGGGGGAAAAAAATTGTCTGATGAATGAGGTTGAGTCATTTTTATATGAAAATGTGTGAGAACAATGTAGATTGATATTAAAGTACATAGGACATCACCTATCCCTTTTGGGTGTTAGTTCCTAGACAGCAGTTTATTTTGTATTTGCGGCATTTCCACCAGATAGGTCTTTCCTTTAACCCTCACTTAACTCCTTACTCCCTTGTTCTTTATGAACTTTTGTCATATCAAAAGGTTCCCTATCACTACTCTTAGAATTCTGGAATTCATCTTTCTCATTTTTCTCAAGTATTTTTAAAAGAAGAGATTTTAACTTTAGCTTCATGCCACACCTATAGGTGGCATGGTAACACAAAATTTTCTTTGGCTTAAAAAATAGTGTACTGAGTTAAGATTATACAAAATTATTTCTAAATGTCTGCTCATTATATTATGGACTCTGTATATTGGATTTTCATAATAGAAAGACTTCTTAACAAAGACATTTCAATCTACGGAAGTAAAAGACATCAACTGGCACTGATTTCTATATGTGAAATGTTCTTTCTGGCCTGGAGAACTAGGTTTTGTCCTACTTTTGTTAGTGACTTTTCCTTTGATCATAGATTCATTAAATAACAAGGAACTTGTCAACTTAATTCGATTTTAAAAAGAAATATAGGTATTGTGTTCATTTGCAGTAGAACTTAGGAGGTGATTTTTTTTATACAGTATTTTTTCTTCAGTGAGCCTCTTGTTCCATTTCAGAATGTTACAAAAGAAAGACAGATGAAGTTACTGCAGCAGCAGAGTGACATCACTGGCCTTTCCCGGCAGGTGAAGCACGTTATGAACTTTACAAATTGGGCAATAGCAAGTGGCAGCAGTACGGCGCTACTGTACAGCAAGCGACTGGTGAGATGCATAGTGTCTTCATTTTTCTTTAAATTGACTTTATTAAGGTATTTACATTCAGTTAACTGCATTTGTTTAAACTGTAGATTCTGAATTTGGCAATGTAACCACCACATCAAGATACAGAAAAATTTCCATCACCCACAAAAGTTACCTTGTTTCCCTCTACCCCTGGTCCTAGGCAACCATTAGTCTGATTTGTCATTTTCTAGAATTTCTTATAAATGGAATCATACAGTTTTTAATGTTTTGAAGATACCTATTATTATAATGCCATTTGTCACCAGAAATTCAAGCATGTGTATTTGATTGCTAATACAGTCTTGTAAGTACTGATACTGTCTCATCTGAGACTAACATCTTGGAGCTGCATAAGCTTTTAATGTCTTTATCTTGTATGTTTTCTCAACTGATGCTTAATTTGAAGACTAACGTGAATTTTTTCCCTTTAAGATTACTTTTCAATTACGTCATATTTTGAAAGCACGGTGTGATCCTGTCCCTGCTGCTAATGGAGCAATACGTTTCCATTGTGATCCCACTTTCTGGGCAAAGAATGTAGTAAATTTAGGTGAGAAATAATTAGTTTTATGACTGTAATTTGAAACACTGAATTAGGAGGGGAAAGCATCTAAAGCACATTTTAGATATAGTTTAGCTTCACTCTTAACACATAAACTTCTTGGAAAATATGTTCTTCATGGGAAACTCACTTTGAGCCATGTTTATTACATCTTTAAGACTGTTGAGAGTCACCCCTGTATAGATCTTCAAAATATGTATCAATTCTGTCTTTTTCCTAACATTCTTTGAATACTGATATTGACTGTTTAGTATCCAAAACTGAGCAAATGGACTTTCATTCTCTGGAAGAATTTTAGATGCTTAGTAGTTTGTATATAATTTCTACCAAATTCTCCACTAGAGGAGGACCACCAAGGTGTTGATGTGTCTGAAAATCATGTCCTAAGGAGTGTTTGAAAGATGAGAGTAGACCTTTTCAACATGGAAGAGAAATGGGCTTCTCTTCTGTGACTTCATGATGTTGACTTAAGGACCGTAGGTGAAAATTACAGAGAGAGAGAGACAAGCAGCTCAATTCAAAACAAAACAACAAAAACCAGAAGAATTCCCAACAATTAGAGTTGTCTATAGACTGAGCAGACTCACTTTCAAAGTAGGCAAGTCCTCACCATTGGTGGTTGTAAAAACATAGGTAGCTGGCTTTCTTTAAAAAAGTAATTGTGTATATTCAAATTTGTCAGTAGTCTTAGTTCAGGTATCAGCCACCTTTTTATGTAATATGGTAGTAAGTTCTGTTTTTATATTTTAAAGAGTTGCAAAACAAAAAACAAAGAATATATGACAGATCATATGCATCCTGCAGAGCCTAACATATCTGACCTATTATAGTAAAGGTTTGCCAACTTTACCTTATATCAAACTTCACTAAAATTTGCCTTTGTTCCTAGAAAGCAATGGGTTTTATGAGAAGCAAGGAAAATTGTCATTTCTAAGGACATAAATAACTTAAAACATTCAACATGTCCACAGAAGACATTTTTTAAACAATGTCATACTCTACCCTCCATATTTTGGCAATTCAAAGGCATTTGGAGTCAGTATTAGCAATCTCAGGTACTGTTGAAGCGTGCTAGGGAGAATTTATTTAGACTGACTATATGGGCCCTCTAGTATTTCTTTCAGCTCTTTAATTTTCTGTACATCTGTGTAAAGAATAAGGTCAGATAATATATTATTTTGAATAATCAAAGTCAATTATTTGGAGACTGTATTAGGTTTCTGATCTTAACACTTAAACGTAGCTATCCCATCTCTGCTGTACTGTTGGAAGCTTTAAGTGCTGATAGTTATGAGATGAAAGACAGGAAGATAGTGATTAATCCACAAAGTAGAATTTAGTTGATTATATGCACATTATTCTCATTTTTTAAATCCTTCAGGTAATCTAGTAATAGAGAGTAAACCAGCTCCTGGTTATACTCCTAATGTTGTAGTTGGGCAAGTTCCTCCAGGGACAAACCACATTAGTAAAACCCCTGGACAGATTAACTTAGCACAGCTTCGACTCCAGCACATGCAACAGCAAGTGTATGCACAGAAACACCAGCAGTTGCAGCAGCTGAGGATGCAGCAGCCCCCCGCACCTGCACCGACAACTGCAGCAGCGCCGCAGCAGCACACGAGGCAGGCAGCCCCGCAGATGCTCCAGCAGCAGGTCAGTGTCGTTGGACCGTGTGTAAGCATCTGGGGGACCACAGGACTCTGCTCCGTCCTGTGTAGATGACTGCGCGGTTTAGAGTGCTGGTGGGGACAGAGCTCACAGGCCGCAGATGAAGTGTTCTGTATATACCATGGATGTGGGGGAGGTGTGAGGAAGGGCATTGTGTAAATACTTATTCGGGAAGTAGGATTAACTCACTAGTACTGTGGAGGGACGCACATTTTATCCCTTCACACTTGCTATGTGTGCTTTGGTGCCAAAGAGCCAGATTGTTTTCTGTATATTCTTTAGGCATTTGTTGATTCATTCGCATCCCTATGTCTTTCCTCTTTCCTTCTCTCCTCTGTCAAAGCTATTAATTCAGGGTTGAGTAAGTTAATGTTGATGGGCTTTAAACACACACATAAATACTGAGAGAAGGGGATTTGGGCCAGAGAAGAGGAAAGTGACTTAACACTTTTTAGTTTATGTCCTTCTATCATGACTGAATTATTTTTACCATGACATTTTGTAATTGGAAGATAAGTTTGTTAAAAACATATTATTACATCAATGCGATTTCTATCTTTTGTAGCCTCCAAGATTGATCAGTGTGCAAACAATGCAAAGAGGCAACATGAACTGTGGAGCTTTCCAAGCCCATCAGATGAGATTGGCTCAGAATGCTGCCCGAATACCAGGAATACCCAGGCACAGTGGCCCTCAGTATTCCATGATGCAGCCACACCTCCAAAGACAAGTATGCCTAGAGTTACATTTGTAAGAATCATACAATTTTAAAACTACAAGACACCATTTTTCTTAATCATTTGTGGGGCGGAATTGTTTATAAAGATACCTTTGAGAATTTGATTAATGCTGTGTATTGTCTTGTCCCAGAAAAATACACATATAACATTTTGTATTCAATTTTATGAGCAGCTTTGATGCCATTAAATCTATTATGCAACTATGGGTTGAGACCTTGTCTACTCCACTTCCATTTTATGGAAGTGAAAAATAAAGGAGCCTTGTTACTTACCCATAATCACAAGAGATAATGTAAACATCATAGAACCTTAGTTTCTTAAAATCCCTTTCCTCTTTTAAGGTGACATTTTGAGCCTAATACATGAAATGATCTTTGAAAACAATAGAGCTATGCTATGTGTAATTTATTTATGTATTTTTGCTTCTCACTACTCAGTATTGTTCTCTTTAGGGTACAGATATGCCTGCTCTTAAAAATAAGTGTATCTAGAGACATGTTTTCTAATTTTGAATACTAGATTATATTTAGGAGGTATAATTGTAAAATGAGGATATTTTTATATAGGATTTCTAGTTATAATAAAGTTCATTTTATAACTGTTAGAGTGATGTTTCTCAAAACATGCTTTAAAGACCATGAGAATGACTGGGAAGGCCTTGTCAGAAATAGATTCTGAGCCATAGCCACTAGGTCAGAATTTCTAGGAAGGGAGGACTCAGAAATACGTAAACTTGTACTAACTCTCAATATACATACCAAAGTTGGACAAACACTGTCCTAGAGTAATGGTCCTTCAGCTTTTCGGCCCAAGTACCTCCTGAAAGACTTGAAAAATGTGTGCTCCTTCACATTTCAAAGTTGATACTTAGAAGGTTCCATTATAAGTTTAAGTTTTAATAGTTGCAAAGGTCATACTTTCTGGCATATTATAAATATGAAATTATGAACTAAAACCCTTACATTGTTACCTTGTAAGTAAAGCCACTGAAACTGAAATACCACAGATAGCTTTTGTTTGAAAGTTAAAAATTTATTCTCCCTTTTCTCTTTGGACTTGAGTTTCTCTTTTGCTTCCTCTACAGAATTTTATCTTCACATATTTATGTTTGATAGACTTATAGACAAGTCTTTTGCAGTTTTCTGCAGGAAGAAGTCTTTTTTTTTGGTCTCAATATACACTTACATGAGCAACACTAGTTACTAGATTCCCCTTATCATAAATCCCCACCACATACCCCATTACAGTCACTATCCATCAGCATAGAAAGGTGCTATAGAATCACTACTTGTCTTCTCTGTGCTACACTGCCTTCCCCGTGCCCCCTACATTATGTGTGCTAATCGTAATGCCCCCTTTTCCCCTTATCTCTTCCTTCCCACCCATCCTCCCCAGTCTCTTTCCCTTTGGTAACTGTTGGTCCATTCTTGGGTTCTGTGATTCTGCTGCTGTTTTGTTCCTTCAGTTTTTCTTTGTTCTTATACTCCACAGATGAGTGAAATCATTTGATACTTGTCTTTCTCTGCCTGGCTTATTTCACTGAGCATAATGCCCTCTAGCTCCATCCATGTTGTTGCAAATGGTAGGATTTGTTTTCTTCTTATGGCCAAATAATACTCCATTGTGTATATGTACCACATCTTCTTTATCCATTCATCTACTGAT